TTTGCCGTCAAGCGAAATGCTTGGTACGTCGGTGAAGAAAGCTTGAAGGAAGTACAGTAACTGGGGCCGAATGCACCGGCGGAGCCAGTCGGCAAAGCAGAGGAATTGTCCTCATGAAGAACCCAACAAGTTACTACACAGCAGAGACACAAGTATGGAGAGAATTTCCTAACAGTGAAGCTGAGGGCCTTTTTTTTTTTTTTTTTTTGTTTTTGTTATTTTTTTTTTTTTGGCTAAGCTCGGAATGAGAACCCCTTTGATAACTGGGGAAGGGGGGGGTGGGAAAAGAGAGAACACATGGCCCCAGCTTGACCCGTCGGCCATCCGTCGCAGCAGCACGGCCCCAAGTCGCAAGCAACAAGATCCTTGTGTCAAAGAGCCTAAGCGTCCCAGTTTGCCGTCAAGCGAAATGCTTGGTACGTCGGTGAAGAAAGCTTGAAGGAAGTACAGTAACTGGGGCCGAATGCACCGGCGGAGCCAGTCGGCAAAGCAGAGGAATTGTCCTCATGAAGAACCCAACAAGTTACTACACAGCAGAGACACAAGTATGGAGAGAATTTCCTAACAGTGAAGCTGCGGTGATGATGACTTGCAGGCCGAAAACGGCTGGATAGTGTGTGTGAGGAGAGTAGCCAAATGTTGCTTGGAGTGTCTTGCGGACAAGGGCTTGACTCGAGAGAATGTGATTGAGATGGAAGGGTGAATGGTGACCATTGACAAGATGCCCGTGTGGCAAGGCGGGATTGGCATATAAACTTGGCTGTCAGCACGAGCCTTTTCACCATATCATGAACCCCTGTGGCAGTGACAAGATGGGGAGGCCAACGACGACGCCTTACCCGTGCAACCGAAGTAGTAGTATTGTTTTGACGCCGTGCGCTTTGGCCTCGGGCTCGTTTTGATAGCGACTTGTCCTTTTTTATGTCTTGGCAGGCGGGAAATGAAGTGAATAGCGTAAATGGCTATCAATAACGGCCCCGAGCCCCGACAAAGCTCCTGGAATGCCATGGAGAAAATTCCGATGGACGATAGAGGACGTTAGAGCTCTGGAGACCATGGTTATGGTTAGCGTGCGCGAAGACAACTCTCTGAATTCTGCAACAGATGCAACTGTGACGCTGACGGCCAATTCCAAGCCAGGGACCTCTGGATACGAGTCAAGCCACAGAGTGATGAGGCAAAGCTGCCCTGTGCAAGAAAGTTGACCTCTGACCTCTTGGGGCGGCACCGCAGACGGACAGTTGGGGAAGAAAACAGGCTGCAGTTTTGCTCGCACACATTGATGCGCATGTACGGAGTACTCCGTACATGTATGTGCCTGCAACGGCGCACACCAATCTGCTTGGCCAATAACTCCAGAGGGACTCTCTCTTGTCTCCAAAACCAACCCAAGCTACCACGCACTTGTCAATGAAGCGGGCACAGGCGCATTTCCCCCAAATCCCCACGGGTCCCTGTTGTGCTGTGCCTGGTCTCCACCCGCTCCAGTGGGAGAACAGGCATTAGGAAGGGGGCGTGTGTAGAGTCTTGGGCTCGGGTGGTTGGAACACGGTGCTCGTGTTGGAAGGTTTTTGCTCCCTTTGGCCACTCGACGATGCTCAAATAATACAGGGTGTCGAGTGATGTACAGGAGTACGATCCATTTATTAAGACGTTGCGGTTGCTGCTTGTCTCCGTGTTTCCATGGTAATAGGTGAAGAGGTCATAGCCGAAGCTAAGTTTGAGTATTACTTGGCTCCCGGGTTGTTGAACGTTGATGCTGCGTCTCAGCAGGGGCTGGGTTCTCGTGTGTCATTCCACGGCCATCTGTGCCAATGTTGAGGTGACAAGAAAAAACCAGTGCTAACGCCCAATTGGCTTATTCCACCAGGTTATTTGGTAAAAACGGACAGCGGCGTGATGTTGACTGCAATTGGCGAAACACGGGGAGAAGGGTCTGGTGTTGATTTCAAGATTGAGTTTCGAAGGCCTGGCTTTTGGCAGGACGTTGGATGATGATGTGTCTAGGTAGCTTCCTTGTAGGTAGCCGAGAGGGGGTGTGGCTGGGGCGTGGCGTGGCGTGGCGTGTTAGGCAAGGCCAGGCAGGGCCGGGTTGGCCATGTCTTGGTTCTACGGAGTAATAGCACCGACTGCACACTGGCGCTGCGTGCTCCAGGCTCCATGCTCTGCGCCCCGGGCCCCAGTGCAGTGCATCCCCCCATGCCCCCCATGCCCTCCATCCATGCCCCATGCCTCATTCGATGCAAAGCCGGGCAGGGTTGTTCGCATGCAGCTAGCTCCAAGTATTACTGCAGTGGTGCGGCGGTGCAGTGGTACATTGGTGCACATGTGCAGCTGTGCAGTTGTGCACTTGCGCCAATCGTTGGGTCGCTCTCTGGCTACCAGGCAGGCATTGATTGAGACACGACATGGAGGGACCAATCTTTCTTTGCCGTCGTTCGGAAGCCCTTCTTCGATCCCACCCCCGATCCAAGGTGCAAAAGTGGTGCTCAGCGAGGATGGGGTTTCATGCGAAACACGCCCGGATTGCTGAAAAGTCGATCCCTCCCGCTCGTCCTGCCTGCTTCCTCGATTGGCCCTGACCTTGCTTGCCTGTTGTGCTTTTTTTTTTCGGAGTTGCTCCTCTTTTAACTCATTTAACCGTTGCCTCCCGCGTTCCATCGCCATCAGGTCTTCTGCCACTCTCACCCAGTTCCTAGTATCGACCTCCAACGCGCTCAATATCGTCAGCACTTGACAGCCTGCTGCGAATCCATTGATGACCCAGCAGCCTGGCCCTGGCCTCTACAATACCTACCTCCCTGCCACTCTCGCCCTGCCTTCACCTGCTGCACATGCTTCATCTGCCGCACGCCTCTCTGCGCTAGGACCTTGTCGTCACGAAAACGTCACTAGCACCCCCGTCGCCTCTCTGGCTCTGCTCTCTGCCACCTGCAGCTCCAGTCTCTACGGCACACCCTCCTCGCCCTTGGACCACGCTTTGGACCACGCCTTGAGCACGCCTCGTCTCTTTTTTAACCTTTGCATCTCTCACCTTACTTCACCTCACCTCACCTTGCTCAGCCAACCCAAGCTTTCTTAGTTTTGCAACGGCTGGTCCTGAGCTCCAATAGCAGCGACGCTAGGAAGACCTCAAAAAAAAAGGGACTTGGGTTCTCGCTTCCTTTATCTCTCTTCATAGCTGCCGCACTTGTATGTGACAGTTTATCAAGACGATCCAATTCCGACAGCTTCGTCAGTTGTGCTTCCTCCTTGCACTACTGTTACTACTCCAATCAGGCACATTCCGCCTTGCCTCACGTTGCACAACGCGCCAAAGCCAACAGCCGGACAACAAACCATCGATATATGTGCTTGCGAGCAGGGCGAGTCTCTAGCAATTGAATAATTCTTCGACATCCATTCGTTCCAATTCGCTCTTCTCGTGCCGTTCGACCTTCGCAGACAAGCCATCTCTTCGTCAGTGTGCCGAGTACACAATTCAGATTGGCTGCACAGCTGCTTCCCAATCCGCCAGCCAACACAACCGATATACTTGCACCCATTTTCTCTAGCCATTCAGAATGGAGGCTAGAAACGCCGCGGGTCGCCGCGTATCACTGCTCAACGACGAGAGCATTAGCTACGAAAAGGCTCAGCTTCACCACCAACAACAGCAACAACATCACCATATTGCCTTCCAACCGTCCGCCGGCCATTCCCTCAGTCGTCCATATCCTAGCCCACGCAGCAACTCCTCATCACCCAACACCCCAGAGCTTCTTCGTTCGGACTCTTACGACTCCCAGATGAGCAATGATCCCATTTCGCCTTTAACACCTTCGGCCGACTACGTCTATCCAAGAAGATCCCTGTATCCCGCCGAGCTCCCCTCCAAGCGGCCCGCCTTCGTCGATAGCAGCCGGTCAACCTCGTATGAAGATGACACTCCCGCTCCTTCTGCACCGCCGCCCGCAGACCGCCCTGGCAAGCGATATCCTTGCCGATATAGGGATTCTCATGGTTGCGAGAAGACCTTCACTACCTCTGGCCACGCTTCGCGGCACTCAAAGATCCACACTGCCGAGAAGGCCGTTCAGTGTACATATCCCGGCTGCCAAAAGAAGTTTACCCGCGCCGACAACATGAAACAGCACTTGGAGACGCACTACAAGGACAAGAGCCGATCATCAGCCAGTCAGCGTGCGCAAAAGGCCGCCCTTGCCGAAGCACGCCGCAATTCGTCCGGCGGTCGCAGCCGCTCCTCTACCTCGACGACCACGACCAGCAGTGTGGGCAGCCGTGAGGCCATGCAGTGGGAGCCGGACGCTTATGTCTCCTCTGGACAGCCTCTTGCCTCATCAAGCACCAGCTCATGGGAACTGCGCACCCACAACCTTCCCTTGTTGAACCGTCCCGCAGTCGCCAGGTCACTGAGCAGCGGCCTCGACGCCCTGGCCATGGCAGTTGCCTGCCAGGAGGGCAGCAGGAGGCAATAATGCCAGTGCCTTGGAGATATGAAAGCATTGAGATCTCATTGTTGAGGGAATTTTACGTCCATGACATTCTCGCCAATTGGGCTCAAATACCGGTTAATGCTTAATCACACGTGTGACGACGACTCTGCGCGGTAGATCTTGCACACTCGTTCGAAAATTAAAAACTCGATTACGGACTGTACTTTTCCTCCCTTCTGTACTGGAGGACACAATGCTCGCGAGCAGCATTCGCCTCCCTTGCCAAACCCAACGTGGCGATGGAGTCGTATTTTGTACATTTTGGTACTGGGCACACTCGTATGTGCCCATCATTTGATCCGGCGTTGTTGATATCCAGGTTCGGTGCGGCTTACAATTTTTTTTTCTTCGGTTTTTCATATCGGCGCTATCTGTTGATCCTCACGGCGATCACACTGGGGCTTTGGGAATACAATATAAAGGTGACTTGTACACGCTTTTAAGCACCTCATGACGTTTTCTTCATTTTCATCTGGCAATAGACCAAGTTGGTCTTCAGGTTTTCTATCTCAAGTACCCCACTTCATGCTCGCAAATCTCTTGAGATGCTGCGTGTGTCATGTCATCCTTGTCTTGGCTGGTTGTTGGAGTAGCGTGGGGCTTGTTCATCTTCTGGCGTCTATTGATCTGGGAAAGACACGTTTTTTTTATGGATTGTTCCATCAAGGGGATGTTGTGCCATGCAATCAACGACATGAGACACACGCACATACATGTATACACACAAAAATGTTCCAATCAACCGGCTTCGTTGACTGGAAGTACCATACGATAGGGTTTGGTGCAATGGGCGGCATTTTAGGGACGTACATAGCTTTTAGGCATGGGTGTATCTGACCGACCTGCTCTCTGCGGTTGCGTTGATTGGGGATTTTCTGGGTATAGGAATTGACACCAATTGCCATGTCTTTTGCTCGTCTTGCGTGCTGCTACTGCTGTCATGAAACTGTCTGGTTGATATTGGCTCGCACCTTGGCTCGTACTCTTTGAGGCGTACTTTTGGCTTTTGGTGCGATGAATGGATGTAATCAAGTAGAAAATTTCCAGGGTATCTATCTGCTTCTTTTACGCCTACATAGTTGATGATGCCGTCTCGCCGTAACCCCCCCTTCCACCGCAAAGATATTGTCAAGGCGCGGCCGCCCGCTCACTACTCCCCTGCTCACCGGCCCAAAAAGAGTTTCTCAACCGTCTGAACGACCAAGCCCAACGGGTTCAGCGGCACGCCGCGTCCCCCTCTGCTCGCCCCGCTCTCCTGGGTCTGGTTCCCGGGCGTTCCGTCGGCAGACCCCAAAGCGGCACTGACAAGGTCGTATCCGATATCGAACTGGATGCCATCAGGGTTGGTCAAGTTGTACCGATTGTCTGCCCGCATGCCCGCCCACACCCCAGTTAGCACGCACTTTGTTCAGACGCCACGGCCGCAATTAGTCTCGACACGGCATTTACGGCCTTTGTTGGTGGGGGGGCAGGACGGGGCGTGACAGAAATCAACAAGCTGAAGGAAGAGAAACTTACACCACAGGGAGGTTGCTTCCGGATGGATGCCGACGAGGACGACCCATCCGCGGCCGTGGGGCGTCCGCGAAGCAGCGACGTTGCCGGACTGGGCATAGCGCGCGAGGACGGAGTCGCCGGCCCCGGGGGGGAGGCCCTTGACGACGACGCCGTCCTGGAAGTAGGCCCAGCGGTCCCTGAGGGTCTGGCCCCTGGTGTGGCCGCCCGCGCTGGCGGCCCACGTCCAGTCGACCTGGATGAGGGTGTCTCGGTCGTCGGTCACCTGGGCGTGGCGCTGGGTGATTTCGCGGTCGACGTCGGCGCCGGCCGGGAGGAGCCCGAGGCCCGGCGAGAAGCCGGCGAGGAAGGCCCCGAGGCAGACGCCCATGTAGCGGCCGCCCCGGGAGACGAAGTCGCGGATGGCGGGGGCCGCGTCTTTGATTTCCGCCCAGGCGCCGTCCAGGTCTGGAGCACGAGGTGCTTGTGAGCAGTATGTTTTTGAAAGAGGTTGATTAAGCATCTAGCATGGACCAGACGTATACGAGGGGGAGGGACGACTTTTCGGCCGCCTTTTGAAATACTAGTACACATGGCGATGGGCAAAACGAAAAGGCAAAAGAAAGGAAACAGTGCTTGGAAAGACGTCAACTCGAGAGGAAAAAAAAAATTGCATACCTGGCCCGCCTCCGTACGCAAACACATGCACGTCGCGCAAGCTCTCGGCCGTGACCTTGACGTCGTCGCCGGGACCAGCATAGGTGACTGTAAACTTCTGGGGCGACGATTCCAGAAGCTGTGCCAGAGCCCCGGGACAGTTCTGGCACACGGCCGGCCCGCGGTAAACGAGAGCGCGGTACTCCTCGGCCGCGGTCGAGCCGGCCCACGCCGCCGCCGCAACCACGACACGAGCAAAGTTGCGCATCGTCTCTTTTCCCCGTCCCGTCCGTCGTTGTTTCCTCGCGTCGGCCCGTCAAGCAATGATATTGAAACGCGGGTGGTCTTCGATGCGATGCGCCGCGTGTAAAATCCCAACAGGACCCCAGTTGCTTTCCGCCGCCGCCGCGGTCCCCCCTTTTCGTCAATGATTGCGACCACCTACCTACCCGGGTAGTAAGCAAGCAGCACGTACGTGGTCTATCCGCTCACGGTCCAAATCGCCCCCGTCTCACCATGCAAGGGCAGGCGAGTGCCGAGAAGCGCGCTTTGGGGACAAGACAGCGTTTGCTATATATGTAGACGGGGGCGCAACAGCTCGAGGCCGCCGGAACGTGTCTGCAGACAAGAACGGGTCCAAGAATGTCTGGCTCGACCTGGATCTACACCCGTGGGCAAGTTGGAGGGACCCGGCCGGCTTTATAACACACAGAACCGTGCCGCAGCAAGACCACCCGACGGCCTTCCCTTTCCCAATGTCTCGCAACTCCGCCACAACCCGGGCACCAAGATGCAGTCCGTGCTGCCATCGCGGCCAATTAATCTCCTGCTTCGTGGCACCGTCCGGGCACCGTTCCCGTGCTCCGCCTCCCTTGACGCTACGTGCTTTGTTTTTGCACCTATTGCGTCCTGTGCAGCAGCAACTTGATGACACCCCTGGCGACAGACCCAAAAGAGAGGCACGTCTGCTTGACCGGTCGTGCGCCGATTCTGTAGGGTAGTGGTTGGTTGGTTGGTGCTCGCGCAAAATCCGTCTTGGAGCCGTCGTCAGCCGTCAGCCTTGCTTTGATGATGCATTTAGAGATTGAATTACCAATTGGCAAAAGGCAGTTTTTTATGCAGCAAGGACAATAATTGACATTCAAAACGCCTCTCATGCAGTCGACACTCCAGCGTGACGCGGCTCGCGGACCAGAACATGCCCAAATCCTTCAGCTGAACCCTGTTTGTATATTCAATATGAATGGCACTGGCAAATTTCCCGAGGTGAATTAAACTACTTTCTGTGGTAATGTGTGGGACATTCTGTTGTCCAAAGAGCTCACACCATAGTCCGTACTGCCTCTAATATGGGCGCCCTTCATCACTCGTGTAATTCTCATGCATCCCACAACTCCTTCTTCTCGGTGGCAGCTCTGGCCATTTCCCACTGCTCATCCGTCTGGCAAACCAACACTCGGTGCCGTGCCTGATCCGAGCTCACTTCCTCCACCACCTCTGTGGGATTCCTCGAGTTGCGGGCTTGATCAATGGCAAACCCGAGACAGCTCGTACGGCGCACTACCTCGTCACGTAGACGGGCACTCTTTTCTCCAATTCCACCTGCAAATACCAGTGCGTCGACCTGGCCCTCGAGCGACACGTAGTAGCTGCCAATGAATCCGCAAATCCGATCGACGAAAATGTCAAAAGCCAGCTTGTACTTGGGCTCGTCAGAGCCAGCAATGATGCTGAAATCCGTTGTGCCGGTCAGGGACTTCCACCCGCTTTGTTTATTGAGAATCTCTTCTGCTCTGGAAATGTGAAGGCGCTCGGTAGAAGCTGGCGAGAGTTTGCCGACATCACTAGCGTAGTGGAAGACAAGACTGCGCACCATCATTGTTAGTTACAATCCTACACTGCGTCTCGAATTACCTCTAGTCTCTCCCTCTCTCCCTCCCCCTCCTCCCCATCTTCTCCTTCTTCTTTCTTCTTCTTTTTCTTTTTTTGTGGAAAAAACTCAAGTCAACGTACCTGGGATCAACGCTACCACTTCGAGTTGCCCCTGGAAGGCCGGCCAAAGGTGTCAATCCCATGCTTGTGTCCCAGCTCTTACCAGCTTTGATTGCGCAGGCGCTGGCGCCACTCCCCAAATGAAGCGCAATCATGTTAACTTTACTGGCGTCTTTTTGAAGAAACTCGGCGACCGACCGGATGATGAATGCGTAGCTCAGGCCGTGAAAGCCGTACTTGCGAAGTCGGTTTTTCTCCGCAATATCTGGGTTGATAGGGTACGTGGAAATATGTGATGGAATGGTTGCGTGAAACTGAGAGTCGAAGCAAGCAACATTGATAGCCCCCGGAAGCTGCTTTATGCATGACTCTACAATGCCGAGAGCCGCCCCATTGTGTAGCGGTGCCAGATCGCTCAGCCTTTCTAGATGGTGATAGGTATCTCGAGTAATGGTCCGTGACTCGGTGTAGTCACCGCCATGAACAATTCGGTGGCATGCGATTGCCAAGTCATTCTTGGACGTAATTTCTCCCAGCTCGCCGTCGTTGATGAGCGTATCTAGGAGAACCGAGAAAGCATCATCCTGCCCTTGAATCTTTTGGCCAGGTTCTTGGTCTTTGGCAATTGTCTTCCCATATCTCGAGTATTTGAGTTTTGCCGGTTGTGCTGTTAATCCACTGACTTGGGCCTCGGCAATCTGCCGCAGATGCCCATTTCTCTCCGCCGAGTAAGCAGATATCTTGACCGAGCTGGAGCCGGCGTTGATGGAAAGAATAATTTTCATAGTGAGTCGTTTGTTTGGCGCACAGCGGTGCAGCAATTGTAGCGCAGGCTTGAGATGTCGCTACGAGTGTCCCGTTTCATCTGGGGGTGTACTTCAACTTGGTGAGATGACTGAAAAAGGACGTCATGTCATGATGGGTGGCCAGGTTATGATGTGATGTGCACGCGTTTCGGTGGGGGCCCAATGGGCACTCGACTTATCGGCACGCCACGCAGCCATGACCTCGGGGAGCTCGAGAGAATTGAGGCGTCTTTTTGAGGCTACCCTTGACCCCACGTGCCTTGGCCTCATAACTACCAGGGCACATGGCTCCATGGTGATTCCTGACCACCTCGCAAGTGGGCATTCCCCGTGGGCTTCAGCGCGTGCTCCAAGATTGTCGTTGTATGGAGACTAATGGCAAAACGGCTGCCCCAGGACAGTTCCCAGCACGCCGTACTTTTGCATGTGCTTGTTCCTGCTTTCTGTCGTCATAGTTTTGCGTATGCTTTGTTATGCTGGCGCTGATATATCATAGTCGTAAAGCCTTGCTCATACTGGCCTCCCTCATCCCCTCTCGTCTGATTCTTCTGGCTCAGCAACAGGTTCGAGTGTGCGAGTCCAATCGGGGGACTCGAGCTCAACTGGCTGGCCTGGCAGCATTTGTGGTGAAGGTAGTTCAAAATGGTTCGGAGGAAAGGGAATCCCTTGAAAGTCTCCATCAGTACTGTGAGCATACAGCCACATTTCGAGAAATCGTCGGTAATCTGTGGCTGCAGTTAGACCCCCAATATCTCAGGCCCTTCAGCGCATGAATATGCGGCAGACCAAGACTTACCTTGCCGGCTGCTAAACTGGATGGATAAATAGCGAATGTCGACAGGTTGTTGGGACGCTGGGTTCGATTCTGAGCTACTCTGGCCAACATTACCCCCTGATGATCGCACTCTCGGCCGTACCCCCCGAGCAAACGAGAATCGGCGTTGAGGGGCCTCGTCAGGTGCGCTTCCTCGCCGACCTCGAACATTAAGCTTCAATTGTTTCGCTCGATCATCACGACTTCGCAGTTCTCCATCAAAGATGTGGACATCATACTCGCGGTACTGACCGTCCGTCTTGTTTGCAAGTACGCTCAGGGAATGGAACGTGGTATATCGGTCGCGCCACATCTTGAGACGCTGAATTGCCCCGATTCCCCTGACCTTGCCAAAACCATCTGTTCGGCCATGGACATTAGTCCACACTACATCCACATCATAAAACTCGACCATGTCCTTTCTTCGTAAATCGCCTTGAAATCGAATAGATGCATCCACAGTCGTGAATTCGTATCTGACTTGAATGTACTGGTCATGAATACAAACACCTTCGTCGGAGAAGTACCGGATCCGATGAGGTTCAGGGAACGTTAGATATCGTTCCATGTCCGAAGGATCATGATACTGTCGATGTCGAGAATGAAGTGTATGTGGATGGATCTCTGACGGGATATCAGATGGTACTGTTCACACACGTTAGCGGCATGGAGGACTCGCGACATGTACACCGCAGAGGCGCAAGGCCAATAAATTGACTGCTAATGGCATCAACGACGAAAAAGAAAAAAAAAAGACATACAGTAATGTTCAAGCAGCTCGTTTTGGTAGCTGCATTGCCACAAGACTCGTCTTTGTTCTGAACCAACCACTTCCCATGGCCCTAGATACACTGTGCGCTCGTCTGGGGTGTCTTGGAACAGAATTCTGGAAAGGCAGTTAGTTTTTCAAGACGTATACGATCCACGTTGTGCTTGTGCTTGGTCTAGGGTTCTCACATTGTTGCTTGATATCCTGGCGGCCCCAGATCCAGCGGACGAAGGGACGTCTGGAGCGCGCCTGACCCCCCCGTGGACGGCGCCGACAGCGTCGATACTCCCGAGGTCGGGGTCCAAGTCGAATCTACTGGGCTGACATGGGAACGGCTATAGGTAGGAGGTCGCCCGAGAGACGATGAGGTGAAGGACGAGCCGGAGGACGAAGAGGCAGCGGCCATGCCTACGACGACCCGGGTGCTAAGAAGCGTGCTGTAAGACCGTACAGCAAATGACGATCCAAGCTCGGGCGCGGCCGCGGGTGATAAAATAGGTCATGACCGAGTCACAACGAGGGACGATGTGATGGCGGGGAAGGAATAAGCGCAACGAGCAACGGTCAAGGAATTATTATGGTAATAACAAGCCAGGGTATTACGGAGGACACTCGGAAACGTGCGGACCGTCCCTGTCACGAGCCACGGACTAACGGGGCACGGAAATAAATGAAAGATGACGACCGGCTGGATACCCTTTTGTCTTCTGTCTTTCTTTTTTTTTTCCTTGGGTTCACTTTGCCCTTTGCTGCCCCCCGGTTGGAGCCAGTAGTTGGGCGGGTAAAATGGGGAAGGGGAGCAATTGGGGAACTGGGCGTTGCGGCGAAAATGTAAAACGCCTACGTAGGCGCGCACACACACATGCATGTGTAGCAAACAGCGACAATCGGAGCAGCTCCAGCGTGGCCACCTAATATTGCACCGGACGTCAGGCAACACTTTGTGTCGAGACGAGACTGATTGGCTACCAGCAAAGTCTGGTTTGTTCTGGCACCAACAGACCGTTGGAGCTCCATGTTTGGCGCTTGTCGAGATGATAGTTACTGGGGCAGGATCCACACAAGCATCAAGACAGGATGTCGACCCATCTGGCCACGGGTCTTGGGAGGCTGTTGGCAAGCGAATCGGAGTGCATGTTCATTCAAGGCTAAACATTAAACATTGGGTGTCTCGGATGCTCGACACCAGTCGGAGAAAGAGTAAGAACACGGAGCACGGAAGAATACCAAGGACATGAAAGTTGCCAGCATGGAGCACTCAGCTAACAGAGTGACACATGTACCTGTCAGCCAGTCGGAGTATGTAGACATGGACTATGCATATGGGGTTTTCGGACCAAGCATTGATACTGCATACTATTTAGTACATACTATGTACAGACAGCAATGGCTAGACTTGGTCCTTGGTCACCCACACAAGTTGGAGCATTGCACAACATTCAAAAGTCCGGAGTATGGAATACCGCCGCCCAATCACACACCGTCCCACATCGCACAACGCGGGCCGGGGGATGGACCAACCTTCAGGCTTACCAGCAGCCATTGCGTTTGGATTTGTTCAATCTGGCTCCCAGTGGTCGTTGCGTCAATTGCTCGGGGCGCTCATCCATTTTACTCGGGGCGCTCAATACCCCACCACGCCCCAATTTTGGTCTAGCGGCCCCGATTCCAGACCCCATAGTACATTTTCAGTTCAAATGCATGGCAGTAAATGCCCTCAATTAAATGATAAGGTGCTTGTGTAATTTACATGATTTTTTTAAGCCGCTGTACACTTTCAGGCTGAGGTGGTGTTAAAGAAGGAAAAACGCTGCTGGCCGCTGAAAAATTCACACGGCTGCACCTTTATTAAAAAATCCGTTAATTCTTAATAGAGCTTTTTAGTGTTGAGTAAAGCTGCCATGCATTTATACTGAGAATGTACTATGGGGTCTGGCAGCGGGGTTGACCGCAGAAAAATTGGGGCGTCAGCGCCCCGAGTAAAATGGATGAGCGCCCCGAGCAATTGACGTCGTTGCCAAGCGGGCCCACTGCCTGATCTGTACCACTAAACGCGGGAGAGCCGCCCACGAGGTCCAAAGCAACATCGTGACGGGTTGGCAGGTAGGTACCCACCACTATTTCCACGGGCGACCGACCTGGTCCAACTCGACAACAGCTCTGACGCACTGGGCCAGACCGCCGTGCTCGGCACTCAGCATTGCACTTGGAGAGGGACATCACACGCGACTGCCAGGGTTTCAGTCGCTCGTCATGTTGAGCAACATGCATATATATATATATATATCGTCTTGCATCATGGAAGCAGACCAGACGATAGCGTCCAGTGACGCACACTCTTTACCTGGGGACCATCAAGTCCAAGAGAACAAGGTATCCGCGCAATACGGCCTGACCCCTCGAAGCTCCATCTGTCTCATACAATCCAGGCCCTGGAGTGCACGCCAGTGCCGCCATTCTGTCATGACGACTTTGAATCATACATTGTACGTGCAATACTCGACGACATCTGCAGACACAAGATGAAGAAGTAAGCCACAACTACCATCTCAATGCTAGTACTTGGAAACGAGGCTTGCAGGTTCGAGCCTAGCCGACGCCTTGGAGACATTAGCTCCCAACTCGATCCCCCGCCAGCCAAGGGTCCATGACTCCACGTGCCCGCAGACAGCTTCATTCTTGTGTTACATGCCGCCTCGAATGGATCACTGCCTGGACGAGACCCGCGTGGGCGGGCAATTAATGCTGCTAGAGGTCGTCTTTTCTCAGCCGCTGCACGCCAAGTAGGTCCCGGTAGCTTGGCACACAGGATGGTAGTGTGTGCATTGGACCGAGTGTTGAAGAGCTCAAGTAAACGTCAACTGTTCGTCTCTGTCATCCCCGCCCCCAAGCGCCCCAGCCAGCCGCTCTGTCACCCGTCTGACTTCCGTCGCACACCAATTTCTTGACCCTTTCACTTTAGATATGCTAGCAACAAGGAACGGGCCTCCCCGAGTTGTGTCGTGAGGCCTTTCTCGGCGACACTTTTGGCCAAGACGATACATGCTGCGGAATAAAAAACGAAGCCGACGACGTGGAGGAAGCGAGTCCGAATGTCCTCTCCTGGCCCCGAGCGCTACCTCTTGCGCCCCTACACAACCCTAGCTTCGTCGTACTATCTAGGGAGCTTCGAGGCTGCACAAACACGATATGCCGACAGACTTGACGCCGTCTCGGCGCAAAAATCGAGGTTTCCTGGGGTCCGACAGCTGTGCACTATCCGCACAGGATTCGCAGGTGCGAACAATTGCATTCCCTTTTCCAAAGTCACAAGCAATAGCGGGGTTGCTAATGCCATTCCATCTCTAGGACCGCCATCAACTTCGATATGAGCTGGACCTCAACGCATGGAACCTACGCATTTGGGGTGTTGCGGCTTCTGGCTTCCTTACCGACTCGTACGTATATTTTTAGCATCTGAGACACTTGTTCTGCCACCTGCTTCCACGTGATAGCGACGACTCACACGACTTACATTGACAGATACAACTTATTTTCCACCAACGTTATCCTTGCCTCGGTTGCTTTCGTATATTATCCAGATGGAGGACAGTGGCCCAGTCTTCTCATCAATCTCTTCACCTTGCTGGGCTCAGTCATTGGACAGCTTCTTTTCGGATTCCTCGCTGATTTCTTTGGTCGTACTCGCCTATACGGGATCGAACTGGTTTTGGTCATTGTGTCAACCATTGGAGTTGCCACAAGCAGTCGCGGGGTTGGCGACTTGTCATTTTTGGGCCTCTTTATCTGGTGGCGATTTGTGATGGGAATTGGTACGTCGGGAAACTTGACCTACCCCATCACCGATGACGGCCGACCGTCCTCTGACAGTCCTTTGCGAATTAGGAATCGGCGCCGAGTACCCATTGAGTGCTGTGATTACATCCGAGTGGTCAAGTACGCAATCCAGAGCTACTATGCTCTCCAGTGTATTCCTCATGCAACCTATTGGACAGGCATTAGCTCAACTAGTAGGACTCTGGGTGTTGCTTGGTTATAATAGCTCCAACAACCTTCAGGCTTTACAGTGTGGTCTTAACACGGCGAATGCAGAAGAGTGCCGGAAGGCTGTCGACGGCATTTGGCGCATTGTCATCGGCTCGGGGGCTATTCCCGCCCTTCTTGCCATCATCTTCCGGTTTTTCCTCTTTGACTGTGGCCTATACAGTCTCGAGGTCCGCAACAAACCCGCCGTAGCTATTATGAACACTCAGAGAGTATATGGCGCGCCTGCGGGCAGCGCTCTCGGAAACTCCTTTCAGATGCACAATCAAAATGGCATACAACCTGAACTATCCCCTAGACCAATGCCGATTCAATTCTCCAAGGAAGATCTGTACAACTACTTCATCAGGGATAAAAACTGGTACTATTTGCTGGGAACATCTATGACATGGTTTGTTCTTGATGTCAGTTTCTACGGCCTATCTCTGGACAATAGGAGAACCCTGTCAGATATGTGGGCAACCAGAGCCCCTATGCCCATTGACGAGAATCTGGAGTGCTGGAATTCGTCGATCACCGGGGGCAATTCAACTGTTCCGCGGTGGAAGAAGACAGGAATTCCTGTATGGCAAACTGACGTCCTGCACCCTTGTGCTACGATTTATGACGTTCTTATTAAGCAGACAGCGCAATATCTGCTGACGGTCTCTATTGCTTCCATCGCCGGAAGCGCTTGTTTTATTTGCTTTGCAAACCGACTGCCTCGCCGACACTGGCTCACTGCCTCTTTTCTTATACTGGCGATATCCCTGATGATTACTGGTGGCGTGTACTATGGCATCCACCGCTCAGCGGCTGCACCTGCTACAGTTGTTTTTGTCGCCATTAACCATTTCATATTCAATTTTGGTATGTGGTCAACTCACTCGGATTGAGGTTCCGTTCGCTTTGGCCAGGACTGACATTTCTCTCCATCAGGCGCAAACACATTGACCTTTATTATTCCGGCTGAAATCTTTCCAACGTGTTACCGTTGCACATGCCATGGTATCTCCGCGGCTTCTGGCAAGCTTGGCAGCATCGTAGCTGTCCTCGTAGTGTACGGCATCAACTCTACCTACAAGAGCGAAACAAGACAAGGCCTCATCTTCCTCCTCTTCGGCTCAGTAGCAGCCATTGGCGCCGTATTCTCGTGGCTATATCTCCCTGACCCGCAGCGCGTGATAGAGGACGAAGGGAAAAGGTTCTTGGTGACCAAGGACCTGGAAGAATTGGGAGAAGGGCGTGAGAGGGCACGGCAGAATGGCGAGTCGGTTGCGATTCGGGAAAAGTGGGACAATTTGAAACGAAGACGGCCGTTACATCCACGCAATGAGTCACCAGCATCATGAAGTTTAAACTACCAATTTGTTTGTGGGCGGTTTGTGGATTTTGTACATGTGTGTTGTTGTACAACCCGTAATATTAGTGATTGTTTGGATCAGATACCCAATTGTATATATATCATCATCGACAGACCATAATAAGCTCCAGAACTCCTAACCCTGATCTAGCATAATGATCCTGGGCTGATCGCTAAATGCACTACCACCTTCCCCCCGCCTCAACATTAACAACCATGATCAAGCAAAAGAAATCAAAACGTATTTTGGTAGAAGTATCAACATAGAATCATTCCACGTAACAAGCTTATTGACCCCTCCGGGCAAGGAGCTCCACCGTATCGACATATAAATCATCCGAGCTGGTCGTTGCCTTGACGTGCATGTTTCTTTCCAACGAATGCAACCATCTATTCCACCTCGTTCCCGGCATGGGATCCGTCCAACCCTTCAGCGGCCTCAATATCCTGGACAGACGTATAGCAAATGGCGCAAAGTGAATATCCACAAGGCTCAGTGTCGACCCTGTAAAGAAGGGGCCTTGTTCGTCAGCAGCGAGAACCAGATTTGTAATATGTTTTTGGAGACGGCTGGTGGATTCGCTCTGGGACTGTGGTTCCCGGGCGAACAGTAGGTCGTAGAAAGACGGCACGATGCGAGCGTTGATCTAGGTCTTCTTAGTGGTAAAAACACGCCAAGGGTCCAGAGGTGGCGGACATACATGGTCTATCCAGAGGCGACATCTGGCTTTAAGTTTTGGATCCGAGGGGAGCAGAGGCGTGCTCGTGTCCACATCTTCAAGCTATTCGTAGGATTTTTGCCGTCAGCAGTGTGAAGGAGGAGGCGTTGGGGCTGGCAGAGGTCAAAGACGTACATATTCGAGGATGACCGCGCTCTCGGAACAAGACCAGTTACCTTGGCGTATGGCCGGCACCGTCTCACTAGGACCGGCTTGCGTAGTAGATGAGGCGGGAGTGGCGGGAGGGCCCTTGGATGAGTCGGTTTCGCAATATTGATAGGGTAGACCTTTGGCCTCGAGGGCTATCCACACCCTTTGGGAGAACGGGCTGCGCCAACTTAGGGGATTTGTCATGACACAACTTGCACAAAAGGATGGAACGTACCAGAAACAGGAGGAATAGAGCTTCAAGTCGTGCTCTTTTGAACGCTTCTTCACAAGCGTCGCCGCCGCACCGGTTGCTTTTCTCGGCGGCGCCTTCTGCAAAACCCGCAAGATTAGATTCGACACTCGCGCGCAACATAATCAGCGAGGAAAAGAGGAGGCATACCTGCATCTTCCTCGCCTGTTTCTCCTGCTGCGCCACATAACGCTGCACGCTATTCTTCTTGATCTCGTCACTCCTCTCCAGCGTGTGCCGGTGCGGACCGGCCACCCCGTCGCCCTTGCCATTCCCGCCGTTGCCGTTGACGCGCTGAATCGTCCAGAACCTCTGCCCGGCAGGCAACGTGGCGCCAGCCGCGGCGGCAGCTTCGGCCGCCTCGCGGTCGACATAGGCGCTGGCGTTTGGGAAGTACTCGGTGATGCGGATCTTGACATCGCACAGGTCCCGCTCGCGCGCGCTCCTCTTGCGCTTCTTCTTGGAAGGGTCGTCGGACTTTGGGGTCCCCGGCGGACGGCCCTTCATCCGGCAGTCCCAGTAGTGCGAGACAAACGGCTTGCGCTTGTAGCGCTGGGTCGAGCGGTGCGAGTAGACGTTGTCCACGTGGGGGAAGTATGTTTCGAATCTGGGCGGCGTGTTTGTTAGCTACGAATTCGGTCCTTTCGAGAAATTGCAAGACGGAAAAAACACTCTTTGCAAAAGAGAAAAAAAAAAAAAAGAACCACGATGCTGGATGGGGGATGCTAATAAACAAGCAAAAAGAGCAGGAAAAAATATACATACTGCTCGTCCGTCAGGACAATCATGTCATCCACGTTGAAGAGCTTCTCCCTCCAGGCCCGTAAATCCGGCGGATCCACGACAATCTTCCCAGGTCCCTTGCGCCGCGGCTCGTGCGAGTCCACGGCAAACGAGACGTGCCGCGCCCCGTCAATGTGCCCTTCCATGACGCCGCTCAGCATCGTCGTGGGGGCAAGAATGCCAAACTGGCCCCCGGAGGCGGCGGCGGCGGCGGCGCTCTGCTGCGGCGCGGCACTCGGCGCAACGGCGCCATGCTGTCCCTGAGTAGCCACTCGTCTAAGGGAAGCATTGGGCGACGGCCGGTAGGCGTCGTCCAGGTCAGGATAGCCATCTATCCCGACGCCGATATCAAGACGGAATTGCCCCACGCCCGGCAGCCCCGCTCCCGACCCGGGGAAGGAGCCGGGAGCAGCCATGCTAGAATCGAGGGCGCCAGAAGGGGCTTTGCATGTATGTATGGAAGAGAGGACGACGTTTGGTACACACAGGCCAGCGGGGCTTCGTATCTTTGGCCGGTCCGGTGCTGCTTTTACGTCTGGGCAAGGAAGATGTGATGCGGATGAGGCAATAACGCCCTTTTGTGGCCCTCTGGGGAGAAGAGCGGCAATGTACGCACGGACCACCGGATTCTACAAGTGGCATAGGTGGATAATTTTGGATATGCATAAAATAGCCATGCACATTACATACCTAACTTGTATGTACGCTTGTGCCACCGCTGCTCAACCACCCTGTAACTTGCAAGTTCTCAGTTGTGTTTGTGATAAACAATTTTTTGAAAGCTATATTCATTCAATTCGTTCATAAAATCTTCGGTTGAGAGTCCCAGCTAGATGTGCATGAAGATCTCCGCCCATATGATACAGTTGTCATTCCAAGGTGAACACACACAGAGAGAGAGAGAGAGAGAGGATGGTGAAAGAACAAAATCCGAACGCCGACATCCAAACCAAGAAGGCGCGGGCTTCCCTGCCTGCCCTGGATTTCCCATTACGCCTCGGTTCACCAAATCATCTTGGCAACCTCGCTAAAAAAAAAAAAAAAAAAAAATTACCACCGAATCCCTTGTCCCGCATTGCTGCTTACTTTTGTTTTCCTGCTCCTTGTCACTCCAAGAGTTTCTACATCAACCTCGCATGGCACTATCCTGCCCCGAGTCCCACGATGACAGGTCCATGGCATCCATTGGTCCCATGTTCATCAGTGCCCGAAGGACTCCCTCGCCAACTGGTGTCATGTTGGGAGGTGGTGCTTGGCCGTTCATCTCGGGTCCCCAGGCTTGCGGTACGGCAAACCCATTTTGCTGACCAGCCATGTTGTGGTTCATGGCAAACGTAAGCGACTCGCCGAAGAAGCCTTGGTGATTGCCGGCATCCGTTGGAGCGCCCTGGTTCATCAAGTTTGGCTGGGACGCGATGGGACTTGGGTGGAAGCCATTTTCTCGTCCCGAGCCGCCCAGGTTTCCGGGTGCAAGGTGCGACTTTGTGTCTGATGCAGCGCCGGTTGAGTTTGGTGTTGGGCCATTCGACTGTCCGGCTTCAGGCGAGCCTGCTCTATCATGACCATCGCCACTTGCTTCATAGCCGGGAACGTGACCGCTGGCTGAGCCGCTCTTCTCATACATGGTCCCGGAACTCGGCGTCAACACGGGCACCGGCGTTTGGTCTGTCGCGAGCCAGGGCTGTCCACCGCCAAATCCAGCGTTGGCAGCGGAGACATGTCCGGCCGCGTTGTCGCCTTGGCTGTCGACTAGGTCAGGAGCTGTAGCTGGATTCCCATCGTCACCTTGTGTTTTCATAAAATGACACTCTCCTCGGTAAGCCAAGATTCCTTGAACACCCTCAGGATCAGAACAAAGTGGCCCGGCATTCTCGACCTTGCTTCCGAAGTGAGGCTAGTTGGCATTGTTAGCTTCGTTCTGACCAGGCACCAACCAGGGTTCATGATGATAAGGACGAGTACGTACACTGTCTCCGCCGCGGAAGGCGTTTCTCAGTTTCGGAATACGCATAGCGAGCGCTTCAAAGTCTACATCAAGCTGTACCAAGAAAGACTCTGTTAATGGGTTCCGTCGTTTCAGAGCATTCATCGCTGATAGGAGAAATCGCAATGAATCGGCCGTTTGCGCGTCATCTGGGCGACTCTTCAGATACTGAACAAAAACTCGAGCTGCTACATAGAGGCAGAAAGAAATAAACGGATTCATCTGCGACCACATGTTAGACGACCCAGTATTTCATAACGCTCGCTGTTCCCCCGGGCACTTACCGATGACAAGTCCATATGAGAAATCGTCCTCATGATGCTGGCAATTTCGTTTGCAGCCGTAATGCAACGCACTTTACTTTCTGAGCTGACCGAGGCCGCAAGCTTGTTCTTATCAGCTTTGAAGATGGCAGCTTGATGCAGGCAAATGGTTGATGTGTGGATACTCATGTTGGTGAAGATGACATTAGGGTTTGACAGTCCGTTGGGCAGCTTCAGGTGGGCGGGGAGACCTAGCGATGTGTTCAGGAGGATATTGTCCATCTGTCTATGCCGTTTCCAGAAGGGCCCGTTGAGGTCATGGTCAAGATCATCATCGTCAGGTCGATGAAGATGTATCAGATTGCGTCCGAATAGACACGCCATAAGTACAACGCCACCAAACGAAGAGAGTTTACCGACACCGGGCGGGCCAGTGCATTCTTGCAAGGTCAGCGTCTGCTCAGGCCGGCTCATGTCAAAGGCCTCATCAGAAGCTGGCATCTTGGTCATGATATCCTTTTCATCAATCGTCATTGGCCATCCGGTACCAATGCTTGCATACCGGTCTTCGCAGAAAGCCATCCAAAATGTGCGCCGCCGCTCTTCGCGCTCTGTCCAGTCCTTGGGCGGGGGGAGACATTGCTTAACATCCAGCCCAGTACCGTCTAACCGGTGTAGACCAATCCTGAAGAAACGTTAGCCCGATTTCAATCCATGTCACGGAAGAAAGGGGGAGTCTCACATCTGGGCAAGACGGACTGCCGAACCGGTGTTGATCCAAGCACGGGGGAAGTACATCATTTTCATTTCATAAGCGGCCAGTAGGATATGCGTCTGACAATGTGCGACAGAAATCATGTGCTCGCCGTATCCCTTTACATAATCTGCCTCAACATACTTGCGCGCTCTCTGATAAAACAGGTCCTTTAAATCTACATATTTATCAGTGATGGAGCACGCCAAAGTCCACATGGCGTATCGCAAGCACACTGGCGGTCGCTGATTTGGTGCTCTATTTGCAGATGGTTAGTCATATTCAACGCGCGACGCTGATATAACTTGGTTGGCTCATAACACTTACAGATTCATGGCAGCGAGATAACGGTAGCGGTGGATCATGGGCATGGACGGGTGAACCTTCTCGAAGTAAACTTGATGGAGTTCATCAATGGTTTCCTGTGGTGGCAACGGTTCTTCTAGCCCAAGGCCAATCATTTCCCAGGTGAAATTGCCTCCTCCAACGTTATTCATCGGCATGCCCATGTTGGAGTTGAAGTTGAAGTCCTCCATGTTGGCTCCAGCTTGCGGAGACTCGCCACTGAAATGCTGCCATCTATTGTCCATGTCGCGATCACCTCCCATGCCCATGGATGCATTAGCGACGCCAAGATTTGGTGTCGCCGTCTGTGGGTTGTGAGCTCCAGGCATGGACATGTTGATGCCTTTGGGGTTTGGGCTATTGATGGCCGGGACTGGATCTTGGGTCTTTAACAAGGTCTCGACTTGTTCTACGCATAGCAATCACGGTTAGCCTTCTTTTACCCAGTTTCTCTCATATTGCACAAACGAATCAGGCCAGGCCATAAGCCGCGACGGCTCGGGGAGCTGCACTCACTCAGTCTCTCTTCGAGGGCCTTCACATATCCTCTCTTAGGACCGCTCTTTCGCCGCTGTTCGTCATAGGCGCAAGAGTGACCCAATCGCGAGCATGTGCTACAGCTTGGACGAACTCCATCGCACTTGAGCTTGCGCTTTCGGCAAATCATGCATGCTAGCCGCTTCGGCTTTGGAACACTGGAGTTGTCGGGGATTGGTTCTCGCACATGAACAGTGTTGTCGACGTCGGGACTTTGGCCCTGGTGGCCCCCATTGCCATTGCTGGACGAGCCATTATCGTCTGATGAGCCAGCCATGGTCGTTACCGGCGGCGTGGGAAGATTGGGATATCGCTCGCTCAGGTCGGTCGCGCCGTGGCAGCTGGAGCTGGTTGTCGGGATAGAGTCTGGTGCTGAAGAACGGACGGCCGGACCCTCCCGGACAGTGGGGATAGGGCACAGGCGCAAAAGATGAAGATATATCGGCGAGTTGTCTGGCAGAAGAACGGCCGACAATGATGGGGGCGAAACATGTGCTTCACGACAGTGATGGAAAAAGAGGCAAAGTTGTCAGCCGAACGTTGGGGATCCTTGGCTGGATAACCATGACGCTGACGCCCCAGCCCAGAGCAGTCAAGTCATGAATGAACTGGAGCAAGCAGCAATTGCCCAGCTAAAGCGGAGTCCACATCCAGTCTGGCGCATTTCCACCGCCAGAAGTCATTTGGATGGTTGACTCGGCCCTGGCTGCCTGGCGATGGGCTAAGGGGGGGCGCCGTGTTAGACCTTGCTCAGCCGAGCAGTTTGGTTGCAACGCTCCAGTCGGCAGGTTTTGGGGTGCGATGCTCTAGCATGATGGGCTGAGGCGGCTGGCTTTGGCGCCGTTTTTAGACCCGGCGGTTGAACTGCATCGGTATATGTACGACGGCGTGGCTCACAAACCTCGGCCAGAACACGTGTCGTTTCGTGGCGGCATGTACCAACTACCTGCACGAGACAGCATCCATGTTCCACCTCACGCTACAATGCCACTGTCGACGTCTGCAGCGCCATAACCCTGTCTGTCCGCAGTGCCTCGTTCTGGGCTAGTTCATCACTCCCTTTCAGGGAACATGTCGTTATGCTCACATGGAGTCATCGATTCGAGGGTTGGCCGTCTATGATTGCAGCCACACGGAAAACTCCTCTATGCGGACACTTTGGACCTCCATTTGCATCTTTGCATTTTTTGATGCCCGAGCGTCGTTGCAGAATGACCATAATCTAACAATATCCGATGCAGATTTAGCAGTATCAACGTCAGACTCTGCAAGTGCTCGCGGTACTCCATACCCAAGTTAAAAATGCGCTGATTGGTCCCCGCCATGCCCCACATCTTGCCGACGGATGTCTTGTCCCCTCGCAGCAAATGGTTTCTTCAGAACGTGGAAACCTGTCGGCATGTGAATGGCTTTGGGGACAAAGCAGTGCCGTCCAAGACTTTACAGGTGCCTTGTTGAGGATTCTTACCTGAATGAACCGAAGCATTGCGTGTTCGACGGGCATGTTGGGATCCTCAACCATGTGGAATATCCTCTCACTGGAACAAGGTGGGTGCGCCGCTGCTGCTTACGTCTGGTCCACCATCAATACTTCGTTGCTCTACCCAGCGGTTGCTTTCTGGACATGTCCGGAGACTCCGAGCGTTGCACTTGCAGAAACATACGGGAAGGGCATCCGGGAGGGGGGTGTCCACGTCCATGCCACGCATCCACCCACGGCGCCGGCAGCAAGGTTTGTTGTGATGGACGCCAGCGGCAATCAAGTCAATCCAACAGCGACACTTGACGGACCAGACATGTGATTTTATCATTTCAGCTATTTATGTTTCCCAGAGCATCCTGGGGACTGGGGAAATCTATGGAGCATCTGCCCAACGGCCAGAGAGATCTGGTATAATTAAACGTGGACGCCCCAGCGAAAGGGTATCAGGCGTCTATGCACACGCAACGTAAACACTGTTCTCTCGACGGGACCGGTTTTCGATTGTTCAACTCCTAATCCCGCTCCATCGTTGCGACTCCGGCATGCGCGAAACGAGGGCATGAATGCACCTCGTCATGTAACCTCGATGGGACGTTTGAGCGCAGACCCCTTGTGCTGAAGGGCTAACTAAGATAACAATAAAACGCTTGACCCCAGGCACCGTCTGCCTACGAAACAAATTGGTTTCCGAGGCGCTTCTAAAAACAGGCGCCAGAAGGCCAAGGCCGTATCGCTCGGTATTATTGGACGGGTGTGGGCTGGCTCGGTGGGAGAATGCCCGGCTGACGCGGGATGTACATAGCAAATAATTATTGGGCGCATCGTTTGCTGACGTTGCGTGATTCGCATTTTCTCTTGTATCGTATCGGGCAAATCTGGGAGACTAGAAGCACGGATGCAGACTGATGGCTACCTTGACGGTTGAATCTACACGAGTCGCCGTGTTTACTATATTCTTAGCCCAGCGGTTATTTATTATGCATTGTGCGGCTCACACCTTCACCAGAATACCTAGTTTCGCTGTTTTTTTTTTTCCCTTCACCAAACCACCCCTAAATTTAACATCATTTCCTCAACTCTTCACAAACTAGGACCGTCGCAAGTTGCAAGTTCCAGCAAACCCTTATTTCCTGTCAACGTCCACGCCGACGATTCGAAGAATACCCAGATCGCTGTATGCCAGACAGTAGCGAGTCGGAGCCCATGCAACCACAGGCGACGAACCCGCCGTCTTAAATGTGTGAACGTGCTCGCCTGTTTCTACGTGCGACACCTCCAGGCCGCTTCCTATCAAGCCGGTTAGTTGAGCAGTCGAGAATTAAAAGAGCAAAGAGGGAAAAAAAAAAAATACATACCCTCGTCGCTACCGCCAACCACATAGCTCCCATCAAACGTGAAGCCTAAACACGGTTAGCCGCCCACATGCAAGTAAAGTGCCACCGAACTCATCGGACGTGGTCGACAAAGCAACTCAAACAACGTACTTATACTCCTCACTGGGCCAGTCATTCTCGTCAACGTCCTCTGGCACAACCAATCGCTGGTATCCCACAGCGCAATAATAGAATCCGAGCCGCCCGTGGCCAAATACCTCGCGGTGGGCTGCATCTCAACCGTCAAGCACGACGAGGTATGTCCGTTGAGCATGTACTCGTGGTCCTCGCCGTCCCGGGCCTGCATCAAGAGCGGCTGAAAACCAGGATACGACAGTATGCGGATCTTGCCCTCGGACGTGGTGAGGAATATCTTGGTGCCGCTGAAACAAAATGCTATTTGGTTAGTCTGCATGCTCTGCTGGTGCGATGACAGCGGCGTCGACTGCCGCGGCGAGAGGACGTAGATGTTGTCAGCCTGCCGGCAGGGAGTCACAGGTCAGCCACGAAACCAAAAAAAAATACAAGCACAACAGATAACACAACCCCCCCCCCAACCAAATATTCCCATAGTCCGTCTCACGGAGTCAAATAAGAAATAAAAGAAGACAGTTACCTTGTTGCCCACAATCAACGTCTCCCCGTCCGGCGCCCAGACCAGACTCAACGCGTCGCCCAAGCCCTTGACCTCGTTGAAGCACGCCTTGGTCCTGACATCCCAGAACTTGACGACGCCATCCGCGCTCACGCTACACAGCTCCGCGTCCTTTGTCGGGTTAAACGCTACTTTTTCCACGGACGCGCCGTGGCCCTTGAGTTCCGTCGAGAACTTGACGTGTGGTTTCTCAGGGTTCCCTGCCGCAAGATCAACAGACTGCCCCCCCTTTTTCTCACGACAGCAGCAATCCCAAAGAAGAGGAAAGGAAAAATGAAACGTACAAACTCGCAAAGTCTTGTCCGCAGACCCCGTCGCCACCAACGTCCCCAGCGGATTCCACGCAATAGCTCGCAATCTGCAAAAGCATCAGCAAACAGATTCCCACACACCAACAGTCTTGCAGGAGCACAAGAGAAAAAAACAACATACGTGTGCGAAACGCCCCTAGAGTTGGGATCGTTGTAAGGCTGGCTGCGCAAGCCGCTGAAATACGACGAAAACTTGTCCCTGGGCAAGCTCTGTCGTGCCCGCAGGACGGGTGCCATGGCAGCCTGCTCAAGCCGCAGCGAGCCCGCACGAGTCCCCTGACGAAAACAAACAAAGAAACGCGTCTGCTCCTTTCAATTATATATATACATGTATATACCCTTCCCTAGCTGCAATGGCGTCTGCGTCGTCGAATTGAAGCAAGACGATGGGCGATGATTCGTGTGACGGAGCCTCCACGGAACTCAGTTGGCGACAAAATAAGAATACCCCTCGCTCGTGGATAGCAGATGCTTTTCCTTTCCCGTTCTGTTTCAAGGCAAGTAGAAAAATAAGAAAAAAAGATAAAAAGTGGTATAATAAAGTCGGCCAGCACGTAGTCGTAAAGCATTCAATCTTGTGGTCAAGAGCAACTAGATACTAATTGGGCTCGTCGTGTCCAAGTCTCTAGACCAGACCGGGACCCTTGGCGTGTGAGATGCCCACTTAATTTGGGCTGTTCTGCCGCGGCTTGCATTAATATTGATCCGTACTGTCACCACTGGAATTCTCCAGAGGGGGTACCCGCCGTTCATCACGCGTGGCATCGCGCCAAGGCACGCAACAATGGCATTTTTGAAGACCCGACCCCGCAGCTACCTAGTGCCTGGGCAACCGGGCACTCGGGGGTGCCAACATTTGAACTGTTGTGGCATCTGCCGGCTGCACTACCAAAAGTGGAGGAACCTCCGAGAGTGCAGGTCTCAATCTCTCGTCATGTACGGAGTACGAGTACCACATGAACAACGCCCCAAAGTTTGCATAGACCGTCGATAACTGGCGACATATCGAGAGACAAACGCCAGTCTCAACACTGCTGCAATCACATATTCAACCTCTTCATGCAATGCAATTCTCCATTCCTGTTCCAAACCCTGCCTGTAATCCGATCGATCAAGTTTTTATGTACAATGTTCTATCACAGCCTTGTGGGACCCAAGGCCTGGTTGAGATCTTGTATGGACACCTGTCTCAAGACCAATACACATCCAACTCCAACAGACCGCTGTGCTCGCTGCTTCGACCCGAAGCACAGCTTCTTGTCAAGTGACCGAGTCTCGGTTCACAGTACGCCTTCATCCCGTACACCACACCAAAGCCGCGCTAATGGCGGCCATTGTGCCCGAACAGCCGGTTTCAACCATCCAATCCAATTAATCCTTGCCAATTCGCCACCAACTCCAAGCGCCATGTTTTAAAACATCAAGTTAACAAAGCTGCATGCTGAAATACTCTCTAAAAACAAAAAAGGGGCACGCAATGAGGGCGTGCAATCCAATAGTGTCGTGGCAGGAAGGCATTTGCCATTAGCCATTCAACCTGCGTGAGCCACAGGCCAATGGTCAACAACAGCCTTGCACATGGTCGTGTGTATATTAAAGTCGTCAAAAGAGGTGATGTCGTGAGCGTAATCCAACCTCGGCATTGATTTCCTGACTTTTGTAGGCTCATATCTAAGAGATGTGTATTGCGAAGGGCGTGTGAATCAATATTGTTTGTGTTAAAAGCGTCGTCACGCTCATGATATCTGGTCAAGAGAGAGCTCCGTGTCTGTGATGCCGAACAGAGCCGCGTTCTTTCGGGCCCATTGGCGAGCAAGGATAGAGGCTACCAGCCAATGTCAGCAACTTGTTTCGTTTTCTGCTATTTTCCGTGGAACTTGTGTAGACATCGACTCACCCTTGAGGAACTTTTTGCTGGCATACTTCTTGAAGAATGCCTCGTGAACCACGGGACGAGCAAGATAGTCAACCATCAGATCAACCAGAGGCTGGACCTCCTGCTTGTCATATCCAGCGTAGTAAGCAAGAATCTCATCCTATTGCAGCTCTGTTAGTGACATTCTTGCATTCCTCCAGCACACAGCGTGTAGGCTTACCCATGGACCACGGTCCAGCATCATGCGAGCCAGGTACATGGCAGCAGCAGCACAGTGACTCGGTCGGAAGGACATGAAGCGGTGGTCGAGGAGACTAATTTCCATGAGATATTTGCCAATTGTGCGAGACTGGATGTCATAGTTGTCCGCCTTCGACACCCGGCGAAGGAAGTTCATGGGGTTGGGGTAGCTGAGGTCATAGTTGAGGGTGCTGAGCAGAAACCGCTCCGCGGATAAAATCTCGGCTTCACTGAAGCCATTATCGGTAATACGCTTGAAGTTCTCGACGTGCGGCGACAAGACCTCCTCGTACTTGGACGCAATGAACATGGCGGTGATGCCAACAAGCTGAAGACGGTCAAGCTGAACAACCTTGGCGGAGAGGAAGCGATCAATAATGTTGACGGCAAGGAAGAGAGTCTCTGGTAGCAAGTGGAATCTTGTGTGCACCTCAATGAGCCAGTCAATGAGAATACCACGCGTCTTCCATTCAAGGTCGTCTTGGTGTGACATGTAGTCGGGGTTGGGAACAGAGCGACATTCAAGATCGCGCAGATATTCAAAAATCTCCGTGGCATACTCAGCAACCATAAGAGGATCATCCCAGTCATCCTCCTCAATTACATTGACTCCCTCAGGCGGAACCGGCTTATCCTCGTCATCGACGGTCTGCTGTTTATGTTGGGCAACAGGGGCGTGATTCTCGTCACGGACGAGGTCCACTGACTTGTGAGTTTGTGTCTTCTTTCTGAGAGGCTGGGATTCTCCGGTAGCAATCTCATCTTGATCTTTGTTGGCGGTGGACGCGACTTTTCGCTTTGGCCCAGCCACTATGGTTCCCGAACCACCGCGTCTTGGTTCGGCCTTGTTCAATTCCTTCACGCCGAGGGCGCTCCGGGCAGTAGCAGTGCGAGTAGTGCTCTTCTGGATACCAGTTGGATGGGAAGCCTTGGAGACGAGCCCAACCTTGCCACCGGCCTTCTTCCCTTCTACAGCTTCGGACTTGTTGACGTTGCTGACATCGCCGAGTGCAGCACGCTTCCGTTGAACGCCAGCGTTGCCGAGGTTGGCGGCCGACTTTTTGGGCTGCAAGGCACCCTTTGTTGGCATGGCGAGCTCGTCCACGTTGAGAGCGGCGGCCTTGGCTCGTGTAAGACGCGTCGAGCTGTTCTCGTCGTTCTCGCTTGACACGAGACGCTGACGAGCAGTACGGGTCTAGATGGCCAAAAGGCGTTCGTGTCAGCAAGTTCCTAGCCCACCCCGGCGATATTTCCAACGGGTTTGCAGCCAGGAAACACGTCTGATTGCAACTTACACCGGGAGGCATATTACAGTCTAGTATATATACTAGATGTTATATATGAGAGCCAGAGGCCGTGCTACAGAGCAAACCAAAAAAAAAAGTCAGTCGTCCAACGCGTCGAGAAATAAAGAGGAAAGAGTTGAAAAGAGGCGGGGAGCATGGGAGAAAAGTAGCTCCCAGCTGAGACACTGGAATGAGAGAATTTCGCAGCCCTACCTCTGGTTCAAAGACAGATATATGTCCGACACGATAGCGCGATTGGAATGTTTTGGCGAGATGTATGGAGCCCAAAACTGTAAAACGTATTAGAGGAACCGCCCGAGAATGAATGACGGCGCGCTGAAGGTGTAAAAGAGATAGAGAGGGGCGAGATGACAGGAAGGACCGGGTAGTAGTAGAGGTGTTTATGTTAAGGAAGACAGTCGTGAGGGCAGACGAGAAGTGTTTTGAGGAGCGGCAGCAGGGGAGGTAGAGGCGTGAGGTGGAGCCAGTCGCGGACGCTCGTCGAGGTACGTACCTGGACCGACCAGATGCGGCGCGGCTCGCGACGTTGGTTGCCAAGGGTAAAAGAAAATGAGAGACCCGTGAGTAGAATGGCCTTGTAGCCAGCAGCGAGCACTGTATTGCCGGGCTGTGATACGCCAAGCCAGTCCGTGTTTGTCCCACCGTTGCTGCGGGCGATGGCGACGGAGTCGTTTGCGTGCACTTCCAAGGGATGGACTGTGGACTTGAGGGCGAAGGAGCTGTGATGTGAGAATTGTTTATCACGGCGGGCCACAGGTCACGCAAGGGCGACTATGCTTTGCCGGAGCACTCCGTCCAAAGGGGCCAAGAAAAATACTCGGGGTAATATGCCAATATCGTAACAATAACAAGATGAGCAACAAGCCAGCGTTGACAGTCTGCAGGAGGTACTACAATATCCAGGTTGCAGCCAAAGCATAGCGTGTCGTCGATGCCAGCGATTTGAACTGGCCTGTGGAGGTAACTACAAGACGCAGCTGGCGACTCACAACGCGACGACTGGAGCTTTCGCGGGTCTGGGAGTTGCGTACCAACAACTGTCGGGGCACGGAGAGGCTGGGTACGTACCTGCTCTAGCCGTCTTAAGCAGCTTAGCTCGGCTCTAGCCACCATCCCTGTGTCAACAGTGGCAACCGCGGGGCAACGGCCCGTTGATTGGAGAAGTGGCCGCCGCTCATCTCGCGCTGGTGCACACACGGCTGGTCGCGCGAGCCATCACGACGCGGAATACCCGCACCTGCTGCCCCTGTGTGGCTGGTAGAGTGTGGCTGATGCTGTATTGAAGCACCCTGTGGCTCAGCCAGCTCGGTTTCGGCAAAACGTTCCTACAGTCTTCCGGTGGAAATTTCAATGTGGGACAAGCACTTGACGGCGACTGCAAATTGACGACGACTTGGTCGACAAAGGTGTTGACCCTTTCTAGGCCGCCTTTTTCGACGTCGCGGCGTCGAGGCACGATTTCGAGCCTTTACTGCGGCCCAGACGTTGGAACAGAACCGTACGCGTTGCTGTTTCTGGACCAATGCCCTCAACGCGGGCCACTTAAGCTTGATCTTCACCCGCAGGCTCCTTTTCTTCTTCTGAGCGGTCGACTACCATTACATCTGACCCCCTCTTCCACCCCAATCGAATCGCACACTCGAAAAATCGAAAACATTTGTTTTTGGCTTCTTTGGTTCATAATGATTCCTCAAAGACTACCGCTCTCCGCGGTTACCAGGGGCTTGCATCGACTGACGTTGTATCAATCCGCCATGCGTGCGTATACAGCGTCCAAATCCAAATCCAAAGCCAGCTCCGACGACACCGGACTCTCTAGCGCATCTCTTATGAATGCTGCGGAGACTCGAGGCTCACAATCCGTAATTCTCCGAACGTACAAGCCCCGGACTCCTGGTGTGCGACACTTGAGACGCCCCGTCAACGACCACTTGTGGAAAGGCAGGCCGTTCCTCCCATTAACGTACCCCAAGAAGGGCCAAGGCAAAGGTGGTCGAAACGTACATGGACGCATCACCGTAAGGCATCGAGGAGGTGGTGCCAAGCGGAGAATACGCACTGTCGACTTTGAGCGGTGGAGGCCAGGTCCGCATCTTGTAGACCGAATTGAATACGATCCTGGACGAAGTGCACACATTGCGCTGGTCACGGAGCAGGCCACGGGACAAAAGTCGTACATTCTGGCTTCCGAGGGTCTTCGGGCCGGCGACATTGTCCACAGTTATCGCTCAGGTATCCCGCAGGATCTGCTGGACAGCATGGGTGGCATTATTGATCCGGGCATCCTGGCTGCCCGAACAGCGTTCCGTGGAAACTGCTTGCCCATGCACATGATTCCCGTTGGCACGCAAGTCTTTGCGGTTGGCTCTGCTGCGAAGCGCGGCGCCGTGTTTTGCCGCAGTGCCGGGACCTCGGCCACGGTGGTGAACAAGAATGAGGAGACGAGGGATGACGGCACCAAGATCATGACGGGCAAGTACGTTGAGGTGCGCCTCCAGAGTGGTGAAGTCCGGCGAGTTAGCAAGAATGCCTGCGCGACCATTGGCGTTGCCAGCAACGTCCACCACCACTACCGACAGCTCGGAAAGGCTGGACGAAGTCGCTGGCTGAACATTCGACCGACGGTACGTGGTGTGGCCATGAACAAGGGTAAGTCGTATATATGATGCCGTCAAGCCAACCACGAGATTGACGATTTAATAGTTGACCATCCTCACGGTGGTGGTCGTGGAAAGTCCAAGAGCAATCGAAACCCAGTCACGCCATGGGGTAGACCTGTACGTTATGGCCCACAGTGACAGCAATCTCCTCATCAGAGTAGCGTATAGCTAACAATGCAATAGACCAAGAGCGGTTACAAGACGCGGCGCACGCACAACATCAACAAATGGGTTGTCACGCCCCGACCTCGCAACCACGGCAAGCGACGAGACAAGCGGTCATCAAAGGAATAGGCACGTGGAAGGTGAGAGTCGAAGTTGGCAGGGACCAGGCATGGAAAATCAGAAAAGAGCAGAGTGTCGTACTCAAAAGAAAAAGGAGCCGAGCCCGCGGGGGAGCTGTGTATACTACGATGGGTCATTGTAACTGTACTATATGGATGATATAGACGAGCCGAGCGAGACAAAGTGTTTGGTCGTGGTTGAGTTCATCATCGTCTCCCGTTCAATAAGACTGTATTACCGTATTTGGAATTCGTCAGGGCCATGTCGTCCTTGATGGGTGACTTGTTTATCAAAATACCGTTACTCTGCTAACGAACAGATTTGGAAACCGGTGTTTCTGCCACGGGCAGGGCAAGCGACTTTTGCACCACCCGCATTGTTACACCCAGCAGAACCAGGCCAGAGCAGCGGTGGACATGGTCTGCATAAAAAGAACATTGAAGTGATTAGCGTTTTTCCCCGTCACCAACCTTGGCAACAGCTCCCGCCCAAGTCGAAAGTGCACACAAGATGCCACATTCGACTACCGAAAATGACCAGCAGTTGTAGTAGCACAGTGCACCCGCCGACACAGAACACGTAGCCAATTAGTAACGGGGGATGACAAAAGGACTGGGCAAAGTAAGCTTAAACCAAGCCGCAGGCGCTCACTCAACATGATCTCACTGCCCCGTGCGCGTGTCACCCGAGCCGGTCGTGCAGAAGAAATTACTGCCTCCAAGCCGGGCAGTATTTTCTCAACCGCATATAAGAGCAAGGCTGAGCATCTCAGTGCCTTGGCTCGGACAAGTTCCAGCGCGTCAAAAAATTGTCTTGGTTGACCGACACGGCTGCATTTAATTGGCCCTGGCAAAACGCCGAAGCACAAGAGGAAGCCAAGCCACTTGGTATCATGCAGTGAGGAACAAAAAGAAAATCACGGCAAACACCGTAAATCTCGCTGCGATTTCAAGTTGATCCCCCGAGCCAGTCACGGCGTACCACGCAAGCGTCAACCGAAACACCAAAAAACGCCCAGTCTCGGCGCTTTCGTCCTTTCGTTTTTTTTCCCTTTGCCCCTGCCGAGACGGGCTGCTGATTTGGCGCCGCCAGAACCAAACAAAGAGGTGGGCGCATTTTTTTTTTTCCTGCTGCAGTGCGCCTCAGTTTCATCATGGTGTCGGGCTGCAGACATGTCGAGGCGAAATGCCCAAGCCGGCGCCCATGGGTTGCAGTGCGCTTATTACAGCAAACTAGGCACCCTACAAAGACAATGCGAGGGATACGGAACAAGCAGCGTGTCAGACGTCCGAGACATCAGAGAAAACGAGTCGACGTCTACACCAAAAAATCAAAACTGCGCCCCCGCGGCAGGTCAAGAGCCCCACTGGCCATTCCATCCCGAATCTGCGCCTCGCTCCAAACAGGTGAGACCCGGGGCCAGCTGCGGGGATAAATTCCACAATTGCGCTCTCCACTGGTGGCGCGGCAGCCAGACGACGATTTGGCGGCGGTGCAAATCGAGGACACCAAGCGGGCAGCTATTACTTAATATGGCGGCCGGTCCCTGCATCTCCAGCGCCCATCGAATTATTATCTTGCTGAATGCCCCTTCTTATTTAAACCTCACAACGCTAGCCGGCACAGATTTGCCGTGACGACGACGCTGGGACAGGCAAGGCCTGTGATGCCCGTCCACCCACTACATGTGCAGACTGCGCCTCCAACCCTCAGCGCCAAAGCACCAGATCTTATATAGTAAGCTTCCAACCATCCATCCAAAGGGCCAGGCCCGACTGAAACCTTGGCGCGTCAACCTGGACACTGACATGGCCGCATAGCCACCCGCCTCCAACCACCTGGTGACCCATCATCAGCCATCACCACAAGCGCCGAAACCACCCTCTTTGCCCATTTAAGGGCTCGGCCATTCCCGCCTCTGCCTTGCCCTACCCTTTGTCTGTTTCTACTCCGCACTGCGATCCCTACGTGACGGCGAATGTCTGAGTACCTAAGAATGGCCCATTCGGGGTCTTCATCCGCCGGCAGCTTCTCCGTGAAGCTGCTGGCCTCGTA